CTATGCGACACAAAACCCCATTTCAGAAGGAAAAGAACAATGCATTTTGTAGTGTTCAATATATTCACACTTGTGTAATTAGTTTTCAGAACTCTTCATTCTGGAAAGCTGGAAGTCTGTAATCACAGACAGTTCTCAGTCCCTGGTACACTCTTTTATGCTCTGAATGACTTTTTATTTTAAATGGTAGGAACTTTGAGATGTTATCCCATTATGTAACCCTAAACGACCTAGGATTATCTACTTGTATCAGGCTCTCCTTGTACTTGCCATAATCTTTGTGCCTCTGCCTCCCAAGTGTTAGGATTAGAGGTATGTACCACTGTGCCTGGTTTAATTTTTATTTTTCACCAAATACAAATAAAAATAAATATATAAAATAAAAATGCATATAGTGTGTGTGCATGTGTTTGTACAGTGTCTCCCTACTCAGTGTGGTGGTATGCATGTGTTTGAATATCTGCCAGAAAACTGGCATCAGATGGTTTCCTGTGTCTCCTTGAATCTCCTTGCCATCTTATTTTTTGAAACGTTGCTCACTGAACCCTGAGGTCATCCATTTGGATCTACCTATCTCTGCCTCTCATCTCCATACACCCAGGGCTGGGATTACAGAGAGATTGCTGCCCAGTTGTTTTGTTTTCTGAGACAGGTTCTCACTTATGTAGCCCTGTGCTGACTGGCTTTTATGTGAGTACTGGGAATCAGTTGCATGGTAACATTTTACCAACTGAGCCATCTTTCCAGGCTGAATGCACCTAATTTTTAAAGTAATATATATATATATATATATATATATATATATTAGGGCTATATATATATATATATTAGGGCTGTTTGGTTTATTTGTTTATTGTTAAATGTATTTGCTGTTTCTTATGTGTGTGTATGGAGAGCCATGCACAGGCCACAGTGTACATAATGAAGGTCAAAGGATAACTTGTGTCTGTTCTCTCCTTCTATGTGGGACCCATAAACCCAATATCAGATTATCAGGCTTAGTGGCAAGTACCTTTACCTGTAGTCCAAATTTCTAATTGGCCTTAATATAAACCTGATGTCAGATATTAAGGGGTGAAAACTAAAAGATCAAAGAAGCAAATCAGCCAGCTACTAGTCTCTACGAAATCTTCAAGCCAAATGGGGTATCCGTCTCTACAAGTCCTCAAACCAAATCCCTTGAGTTTCTGTGTCTTCCCCATCTTATATTCCTCTCTCTGCCTAGCCATATCCCTTCCTGTCTCTACCTCCCTAGTGCTGGGATTAAAGGCATGTGACTCTCAAATACTGGGATTAAAGGTATGAGCCATCACTGCCTGACTCTGTACCTCTTTGAAGATGAGTCAATCTTGTGAGCCCAGGGTGGTCTTGAACTCACAGAGATTTGTCTGCCTCTGCCTCCCAAGTGCTGGGATTAAAGATGTTTTTCACCACTGCCTGGCCTCTATGGCTAACTAGATGCTTGCTCCACACTCTGATCCTCAGACAAGCTTTATTTGTTACAGTGCAAGCAAAATACCAAGCCTTTTTGTTTGGTTATTTGACATAGGGTCCAGTGTAGTGTAGGCTGCTCTCAAACTCACTGTATAGTTGAAGATGTTTGTTTCTCTGTATGTCAGCTCTAGCTGTCCTGGAACTTGCTTTGTAGATCAGGTTGACCTTGAACTCATAGAGCTCTGCCTGCCTCTGCCTCCTGAGTGCAGAGAGTAAAGGCATATGCCACCACCACCCACCTTATTGTTCTTATTGGAGACTTCTGTGTTCCTATTTGTAGGAGTACTGAAGTGGAATAGACAGCCTCAAGAACAATCAGTTGAAAGTATAGAAGTATAGTTCTTCACTAAATTCAAGAGAACCTGAAACAGTGACAACGTGGTTTGTACTTGTCAATTCTTCAAAGTACTAGAGAATGAAGCCTGCAAAAAGGTTGTTTGGATTGCTCGTAACGTAGTTTTGCTGTAAATGAAATGTTGATAGAGAAGGATATGAGATCAGGACTTAAATAAGAAATGTTAGTCTAGGAAGAGAAGAACTAGAAATAAAGGAAAGTTTAGATAAATAGGGAAAAACTGTTGAGGTAGAATACTGAAGATGAAGTATTTCTGCTAAGGGAACAATAATGTGAGAGGTTAGCCTTTCAGCCAAGAGTGAGAGAGTAGCACTGGAGAACTTGGACAGTGTGGGAAGGCTTGAGACTAGCTGTGTACACAGAATACACACACTCACAAATGCTGAATCAAAGTCGTGGCCACAGTCAACATGATCTCATACATTTTGTGACCAACAGTACTTAGTGTTTCTGATTCAGGACTGACTAAAGAGAGCAGTTGGCAGTTATACAAGGTTGGATGAGTTTTCTAGATTGCTAAAAGATAGTGTCGAAATACTTGGCTGTGGTTCAGAAAAGGACAAAAAAGCCCAGGGTAAAGATTCTGAGTAAAGATATAAGTGAAATTAAAGTTCTTAGAGAAGGTGGAATAATTCCAAATAATAACTGGATCTATATTCTCATTGAAAGTGAAAAAGTAATGTAGAATCATTCTAGGAACTAAGACCTGGATATGAGATGAATCTATTGTGGGCATTTCTTTGTAAGAAAAAGAATAGACAAGAAAAGTGTGAACCAAGTGCCAATTTTCAGAGCAGAATTTCTGTATAGCAAATGGCATTTTACAATTTTGTGTCATCTTGGTGACTGTCCTAGATAAAATGGTTAAACCATTACTGTTATTACATATTATAAAAGAGGATAAAATTGACACAAGGAAGTTCCCAGAAGATCATTTAGTACAGTCCACCCTTTCCTCTGTATCAGCTAATCCTGCCAACCTCATATCAAAAATATTTGGAAAAGACTAAAGTGACTTATCCTGTTATCCCAGCACTTTTGGGGATGAGACAGGAGAACCATGAGTTTGAGGATAGCCATGTAATGGGGACCCTATCTCAAAAACAGAACAAAGCTGGCCTGGCATGGTGGTGCACACCTTTAATCCCAGCACTTGGGGGGGTGGTCAGAAGCAAGTTGTTGAGTTTGAAGACAGCCAGGACTATATAGAAAGACACTCTCTTGAAAAAACAACCAACCAAGAAAACAAGAACAAAAACCATAGCAAAACAAAAATTTTGGAGAGGGGGAACGTGGCTATGTTGAATATGTATTAATCTCCCTAATTGAACCCAAATACTTACTTCTTGATGTTACTCTTTAAAGAATACAGCATATCAAGTATTTTTATAGTATTTACATTGAATTAAATAATGTGAGTAATCTAGAAGTGATTTAAAGTGTACAGATAGGGCCAGACATGGTGGTGAATGAATACCTTTGATCCGGCACTCAGGATCTGCAGAGGATATGCAGAGGCAGGCAGATCTACATAGTAAGTTCCAGGCCAGCCATGGCTGAATAGTGAGGACCCTGTCTTGATGTGGGAGTGTCATATATCAATCTGTTGATTTCATTGGTTAAGCAATAAAGAAACTTCTTGGCCCTGATAGGTTAAAACATAGGTGGGAGGAGTAAGCAGAATAGGATGCTGGGAGAAAGAGGAAGTGAGCTCAGACTCTGCTCTGCTCCCGGAGAGACTCGACAGCTCTGCTCTCTGGAGCAGAGACTCCAGGCTCTGCTCTACCAGGCAACTCCGACCCAGGCAGAGACTCCAGGCTCTGCTCTACCAGGCAACTCCAACCCAGGATGGACGTAGGCTAGAATCTTCCTGGTAAGCGCACCTTGGGGTGCTTACACACATTATTAGAAATGGGCTAAATATGTGAGAATTAGCCTAGAAGAGGCTAGATAGAAATGGGTCAAGCAGTTAAATGAATACAGTTTGTGTGTTGTTATTT